TGTTTACTGCCGCACAACTAGGCAAGGGTGTTGAATTCATTGGTAACGGCGAGGTGCCGATCACGAATGGAGTTGGATTTTGCGAGTACGTATGGGGCTTTAGCAACTGGAACTCGACATGGACGCGCAACAACGAGATGATCGGCCCTGGTATTCAGCGTAAAGAGGGTGTGTTGCGTTCGCTGGTGTATCTACACGTGTCGATCTCCGGTCAAGCTTTGATCTTTGTGACACGAACGGCTGGCAGCAATAATTGGTTCTTCGCTGAAAAGCCATGCAATCTATTATTGATTGCATTCGTATTCGCTCAGGTGGTTGCTTCAGCAGTTGGCTGGATCGGTTTCGGTGGCTATCCGACCGACCGTATTGCCGTGATCGGTTGTGGTGGTAGTTATACACTCATTGCATGGCTTTGGGCAATCGTCTGGCAATTCCCACTTGACATGATTAAATTTATGGTGAACTACATTTTAACCAAGAACACGTATGCCAGCAAGGCATTCACAGAACGCATCAATGCGGGTCACCCATCCTTGAAGCACTCTGTGGTCACAAACACCCAACGCTCAATTCGCGCCAGCCGGACTGTGTAAGCAATAGTAGAATTTAATCATATTCAGCAGTTTACTGTGTAGGAGATCGTGTTAAAAGCAAGGTTGCCTTTAGTATGATGTGAAAATGTTCAGATTGAATAGAAGTGCAACTGCACTAAATTAGCCCGAAATTCTTGGTGATCTACGCATGCTGCACTATGCAATCCAAGCTATTAATGGCACTTCCTTTTTTAGAAATTGGGCTTTGACGCATGCAGGTTGCCAGCTAACTAAATTGGCACGAACCAACCGTGAACAATGGTGGCTGGCGGTGGTCGTACCGGTCTATCCTTGACGCCAGCACAACGCACAATGGTTGAAAAGACTCGCGCTGTCCAGCAGCAACGCATGGCGGCTTTAGAAGCCCAGCACGAACTCAAATCCAAGTCTCGTTTGAAAAAACAGGAGATTAAGACTCGCTGTCGATCTCAACACGCGCCTGCTGCTCGGCGTCTCATCTTGCGCCATGTCGGTGGAGAACTTGCACACGTTGCATATCGAGAGCGAGAGTTGTCGAAAGCTCGATCTGCGACATCTCGCGACAGTAGTAATTATGATTGTAAAGCAGTTGCGAGCAATAATGACGAAGATCAAGTACAACAAAAAGCACAAGATGCAGATGACGGATACGACGAAGAACGTTTCGGTCCCGTGCGTCGTCCACCTCGCAAGCAGCCGCTAAATTTGTGGGTATCGGTACGTACTTTGCGTTGGACAATGTCTACACTGGTGCATTCTCTGGATTAGTTGCTGTATTGCTTTGGTCATGCAGGTTTACAAACAGGAACTTGCTGAAGTCATTGAGGCCAAGGACGAAACTCGACGCAAGCGCCTGGCTGCTGCGACCGAGTATCGTGATCAGCTTGCTCAGCAAGAGGCCGAGAAGCAGCGTCAACGCTTGGACGAGAAGTTTTTGGCTGACGCCTACGCGCGAGAACAAACAAATCAACAGGCCGCGTGGCGTGAACAAGAGAACGTTAAGTTGAAGAAGAGACAGGATCAGGTAGAGGAGGAAGCCCGACGATGGCAGCAAGAACTTCGCATTCAAGCTACGGCGTCTCGTATGGCGCGAGAAAAAAAAGAGCTTAACGAGCATCGAGCCCTTGAACGACTTCGCTTTTTAAATGAAAAAGATAGGCGTCGCAAGGCAGAGCGCAAGGCTGCCGAGATGGAAGAGGTCGCACGAGTTCGAAAGGCAAATGAGCAGCAGCTTGAATTGAAGCGTCAAGCTGCGCTGCACGATCAGCAACAAGAAATTGAGCTTCAAAAAGCCTATTCGAGGAGACTTGAGCAGCAGGAGGCTGCGCGTCGTGCAGAGCTTGACGCGATACTTGTCAAACAGAGCCAAAAAGTGAAAATGGCTCTTCTTAATGTGAAAAGTGCTGAAGAGAAAGCGCGCGAGGATGAAGAGCGTTCGCTTGCAGTGCAAGCGGCAGAGCGAGCTCGTGAAAACAAATCAGTCGAGCTTAAAGAACGCAAGAAGCGCGAGGGTGCTCGTTTGCAGGTTCAGGCCTTAATTCAGCAAAAAGAAGAGAAAAAGTCTCGACGAAAGTTATTGGAAGAAGAAGAAGCTGCTGACGCGAACAAGTTGAAAGCAGACTTTCATTCGTGGCAAAGTAAGCAAAATGCAGAGAAGAAGAAAGCGTTTTACCGCAATCGTGAATATCAAAAGCTGGTGCGACAGCAAATGGATGAAGATATCACGCGAAGAAATGATGAGGACAAATACGGCATGACTTTATTAGAAGCGAAATTGAATTCTCAATTGTTACTGAAAGCAGGAATCAAGTCGCCACCGAAGGATATTCACATTAGGTAGCATACTTCTGAATGTATGAATGTCAATTTTGTACTATTAGTGTATTAATACAAATTTTATTTAGTATTACAAAGTGATGCACGCCTTCGTGACTGTGGGTACAACGAAGTTTGACGCACTTATCGAAGCGTTGGACACGGACGCATGTCTGTCCGCATTGGTTTCTCGGGGGTTTACGTCAATTAGAATGCAGATTGGTCACGGCAAGCACGTGCCACGCGCTTCGTTCTCTGGGTTACTGATGAGTTACTATCGACATGATCCGCAATACAAGCGTGACGTGGCTGCGGCTGACCTGATTATCAGTCATGCGGGTGCTGGATCAATTATGGATGGCCTTGCGCTTGAAAAGAAACTTGTAGTTGTGGTCAATACAATGCTCATGGACAATCACCAGATCGAACTAGCCGAGGCCATGGCCGACCACAACTTTTGCATTCAGACTACTGTACAGGGACTTCGCGGCGTACTCGAAACTGGAGATTGGGATCATTTACAATTATACCCCCAACCAGATGAACAGGCTTTTCCTGACTTAGTAGACGCAGTCATGGGTGTAGCTAAGGCCGATAAGGGGCAGTGAAGAATGATTCAGAATTAGCAACTATTTGTAAGTTGATATACTATTGTACATTTTACTAATAATTTAATACTGAACAAAGCTACACTCATACTTCGGATGACTCAACAATCAGCGTTGTGGATCACAAGAAATAAGTACTTAACTTAGGTTTTCTGTCTGCTTCAAAGTGAGTCCACAACATCCAAATTACACGAGTACTGCCAACTTTATGGCTGCTGCTACATGTCAACAGGATTTGAGTGCTCAAGCTCAGCGACTCGAAAATCATCCGGAAAAATTTTCTTTTCAGCTCTAGGAAATGATTGGCTACCGTGGTGTTGTGCGAATTTTTCCATCCAGATCCGTTTTGGTAGTATGGCGAGAGATTTTTTGTAAGCTTTCCAAGGTTGACTCAGAGATTCCACCTTATGCTATTCATGATCGTTCCGATCGTCAAATTAAAGGAGGTTGGCTCAACGGAATCGATTAGATCAAATAGTGCGCGATAACACTGATTAAAGCGGTGGCAAACTGTGTCTGCAGGAAGATTATAAGCTCTTCGATGGCTGATATTGTCTCTTATACGTTCGATGTAACTTCACTCTGCCATTCCTGGATATTTAATAAGCGATACCGTTAAAAGTATCAGTCCGTCTCTCCATACCATCAACAGTAGATGTGAGAGATGGACTTGTACTTCTGCGACGCAGATATCACATTAAATCAGCACTTGCCGAAGATTAGACACTCCACATTAAAACGTCGTCACTGCGTTGTCTTCTTCCGCATTATCAATCAATTAAAAATCAATCATTTCTGCCATTATTTCCTCGATAGAAACAGCCATTTCAGCATTAGACGCGGTAAATGATCTGGTCTTGACAGTCTCAGCTATGACAGCTGTTTCCTCACACAGCTCCGTTGTCGCATGCTCTTCGACCACCTTTTGTTCCTCAACTGGCTCATTTGGCTTGACTGATATTCCCATGACCGACTCCATAGCCTCCATGACTGACTCTGTGGACTGCTCCTCACCAAACACATCATCGGCGTTTTCCAATTTTGCAACCACTGTGTCTAAGATATCGTCAAA